CGACAGGCAGGCCGCACGTGGCACGCCGTGCGCAGCGGCGCAGCCCGCAACAGCGCAACGCTAGGGGCGGCCACGAGCAGGCAGCGCCGCAGCGGGGCTCCAGGCATCTAGGCGAGCAGTAGCCAAGTAGGTGATTTTTTAACTGTGAAACTGAGTCCGTGATTGAATGATGGAATGTTTGATTCATGATAGATTTCAATTTTCAGATTTTCGTTATGTCAAAAAAACTTTGCGCAACTACTTTTCAAATTCAAGTGGAAGTGGTAGTGGCTCAACTCCACATACTAATGAGAGCACTAGTCAATCAAAGAAACCTAGGGCAGAGTTTAGTCATTCAAACCTAATTGCTGACTTGGAAATCGCAAACCAATCGATTCTTATGAACCTGAAATTATAGACCAAGTAAAAACAGATTTGCGTAGTAAAATGGGTGATGAATGGCTCAATGACTTAATGATATGCTATAATGAGAAGGAGATATTTAGAAAGATTGATAATGAAAAGATCAAAAAGCGGTCTCAAATGATGAAAAAGCGTCGTATGTTATTGCCTAAAAAATTAGTGGTACACTCTGTTCTCTTCTAAATTCATAATTTGGATATTCATATATGTTTGACTAATTAATTATGTCTATTTGTGTAGATTGCTACTTCGGATGAATAATGTGTGTCAACGTCACGTGCCGTCTATTAGTTTCGTAATTTGGCTTTTCGGTATGAATGAACTGCATCCTTTATTTTTCATGATGTAGGCAGTGTTCGGCTGGTGATATTCGGCTGGCTGGTTCGTTTTTTTTTTCAGCCAAAGCAGTGTTTTCCGCTCACAAAATTCCAGCGTGAACAGTAAATTCAAGACTACTTCAAACTATTATATTTGTCTATTGTGAGGGGTCATAGTAGAGCTAAGTCGCTGTAACATTTTTGTTCAGCCTCTCCTAAATTTTTTCATGGCTTCGTCCCTGTATCCATCATACGCTGTCACATCATGGGAAGATGATGACTTCCTCAAAACTTGTTCATCGCATCGATGCCACAAACATGGACCAGAGATCCGGTTCCCATTTCGGCTTCCAAGTCACCCTCCATCATGCGGTGCACCTGGGATTCAATTATCTTGCTCTGGGTATGACACCATCCTGGATCATCCGGTTCTTGGCTCCTGCAAAGTGACAGCAATATATTACAGACATCGTGTCATCAATATCATCCTGCCAGCAGACTCATCATCACACTGCCCACTTCAGAAGCTGGTCACAAGAAATCAATCAATTTGATGTGTACGCACCTTTCACACACATATATACCTTCTCGTTAGTCTCAGTACTAGTAGGCTGCTCAAGAGAAGCAACAAATCAATATGCTGTGAGGTGGTTGTCTAAGCCTCATTAACAACGCAAGCCAGCAAGCCAGCTCTGGTACCTCGTGCTTCCTGTACAGATATGTCTACTCTTCCCATGGGCTGTGAGGTGGTTGCAAAGGGCATTCCAATACCCTACACTTACGACAAAAATGGTCCAATACCCTACTCTTCAATGGAAAGGTAAATAGAGCAATCAATTTGGGTGAAATAGCATTCAATTGGAACCTTAACAACATCACCAGTGCTTGTCAACGGTGTGAACAGGAAGGGAAACATTGTGGATTCAGTTCAAACAGGGGACAAGCATTCTGCCTGCATCACGGTATTGTTTTCCAGCCCAGATCCCATAATGTTTGTGATGTTCCGTTCTAAGTTGCGCCATTACTGATGTTTATTAGCCTAGCATCTTCTGTGTCATCCAAATTCCTTTCACTTCCACAAGATTCTTGCCAACAATTTAATAGTTTTATGAAATTGCTGCAGACAAGCCTAATGTGGTCTGCTACAGTAATATCGTGCTGCTAGAGTGCTTCTTTTCTTTCTGTCTTAGTTTTAAGGAAATCCTGCATTTTCAACATCCTACAAGATTTTTGTCTATGCTTAAATTGTTTTGCAAAATTCAACTGCAATAAGTCTAACTCTAATGGTTTCCTACTACATTCTTGTAGCTGGGTCACTGGCTTCTGTTCCGATGAAGTAGGTAGATTTTTGTGGTAGCTTACATTAAGACTGTAGAGTCGTTCAAGGACATCCTCGCGGAAACTTAAGTTAATAGACGCCAATGTGAATTATGATGGTGATGGTTATTCTTTTGGAAATTTCTGATAGAGTCAAATAAAAAAGAAATACGGGACATTTGTACAAGAGAGTGCCCCTACGATTATGGACTGCAGAACGACGGAGGCGGCATGGCTTGCAGATGGATGCGGCCTGCGCCCTGCGCCCTGCGCCCTGTGCGCCCAGGAAGATGAATCTGTCCATCACCTTCTCGCCTCTTGTGTGTTCGAGCGCCAGGTCTGGCATCGACTTCTGCACTGGATTGGACTTCAGAGCCTTGTTCCCCAGCCCGGCTCCATTCTCTGTGAATGGTGGCAGCAGGCGCGCAAGGTGGTTCCCAAGGCGGCCAGAAGAGGATTCGACTGCCGTGTTGCATATCACCTGGAACCTCTGGAAAGAGCGCAACCGCCGGACTTTTGATGGCGTTTCCCGGACTACTACCCAGCTCTTCCACCTCGGAAGAAGCGAATGCCTGGGTCGGCGCTGGATTCTCCGGCCTCTCGTCGCTGCTCGCGCTTCACCCTTCCTAGCCCGGTGGGGTGTTCCCGGCTTTGGTCGCCAAATTCGTTCTTTAGTTAGTACAACAGCGTGAATTCCACCGTTCATCCGGTGCCTTGTGTTTGTGGGCACCTCGCTACTTGGCGATGATGGCCGTGTATCTAAACTTCTATCATCTTCTTAATGGAACACGTGCTAAGCACGTTCCCGAAAAAAAAGAGTGCCCCTGAAATCATCAGTAAATTGGTGTTTTAATTATGATTATGGATGTTTGTGTCCATTCAAGGCACATATTATGGTTAGGAGCTGGCAGTGCTGCTCAACAGGTTGCCAAGGTTCCTCAGCTTCGTCATCCTAGAGTGGTAAATAGACTCCTAACTTAATGGAGAAGTAATTGGCAAGCATCATGCAGCCAGCGCACCATGCCATGTTGGGCCTCTTGTTGTGCCTGGTGTACCACATAGCAGCACAACTGATGGAGTAATATTACATATACAACATACTTACATGCACAAGTGTAAAATTCATAATGTAAAAGAATTATATATTATACATTTTTTTACTATTTTATTTAAAAAAACAGAATCTTGCAGAAGATATTGTAAAAAGGTTAATAACCTTGATTTAGTGACAGAGGAAATATTGAACTAAGTTGCATTGATAGATGAGTCTTGAGATGTCTGTCTAGTAGGATCAGCACTCTGCTTATCAGTTTGAGCACTCTGCCTGGCTGCATGAGCAGACTATTTAGTGGTTAGCTACCTTAGCTATTGAGTTACTTCTGCTAGGATTATTAGGAAGCTAATTTTGTTTTGGCCTGCTGCTGTTGAGGTCGGTAGCAGCAGTAAACAGTAGCTGCAGCAGAGTAAAAGGCCAGTTGCAGCAGCAAGCAGGTCGGTTTGAATCAAAATGGCTAGCATTTTGCATTAGCAAATACTCAGTAGCAGAGTATGTTAGTATGCAGAAGCAAACTGACTTCACCTTGTACTATAAATATAAGCATATTCCACAATGAAAATCTGCCTCCCCAGTTGTAGATTCAACTCTCAGCTAGAACACAATAATGGAAAGTTAAAAATCAGTGTAATACCCAATATGTAAGGTCATAATTGGTGTCAGAGTAGAAATCAGCAATGATTTGTGAACCCATTTCAAAAGTGCTTTACTTTTTCTTGTCAAAATTAATGAGAAGATTAACATTCACTCTTCATACCTGCAGGTTCACATGTCATCCTCATTGCAGGTAATGCTGCCACTGAAAATTCTACCATTCTGATGCTTTTTTCTTTTTGCTACAACACAATTTTTACGTTGTCATTTTCCAATAATAACACTATAATGTTTTTTAAACAAGAAATTTGGTCGTGGGACATAGCTGTTTTGTCCTAATGCAGCTAGCTCATCTGTTTTTCCTTTTATTCAGCTACAACATCAGTAGCCACATTCGTTGTTCTGGTAGCCACTGCACTCTAGCTTTCACTGAAGAAAAGATAATGAAGCAATACATCTGAAAGTAGAAATGTTTCTCAAAACATATGGCACATCAAAACCCACAAGGTACACTTTCTCCGAAGTTAAGAAGATAGCAAGACGGTTCAAGGAAAAAGTAGGCCAATGTGGGATTGGAAGTGTTTACAAAGGACAGCTACCAAATGGTGTGCCGGTGGCGGACACTATGCTAGAGAACTCTACAGGAGAGGGAGAAGATTTCATCAATGAAGTAGCAACCATTGGACAAATCCATCATGCAAGTACGCCTCCTGGGTTTTTGCTCTGAAGGAACGAGACATGCGCTTATTTATGAATTCATGCCAAACGATTCATTGGGGATATATATATTCTTGCAAAATCCTAATTCTCAAGAGCTCCTAGTACCTGAAAAAATGCTAGATATCGCTACAGGCATTGCTAGAGGAATGGAGTACCTACATCAAGGATGTAACCAACACATCCTCCACTTCAGAGGCGGAACCAGCGATTTTGATTAAGGGGGGCCGGACAAATATAATCGTATTTTTTTAGTGTGATGAAATATACATAATTATATGTTTGAAGAACTTTTAAAAACCTTTACACTATTTATAACCAAAATCATAATATTTTAATACAAAAATGAGTGAAAATTGGTATTTTATGTGCTACAAATTGCAATATTTATATAGGTATTCAATACAATCTACTGTGCTTGTGTGTGGGGGGGGCACTGCCCCTGGCCCCCCTGGTTCCGTCACTGCTCCACTTTGACATCAAGCCTCACAACATTCTGCTGGACTATAGCTTCAATCCAAAATTTCAGACTTTGGCCTTGCGCTAAGCTGTGTGCAAGGGACCAGAGCATTGTTACCTTGACTGCAGCAAGAGGCACAATGGGCTACATCGCACCAGAGATATATTCTCCAAATTTTCGTGGGGTATCATACAAGTCAGATGTTTACAGATTCGGCATGCTGGTGTTAGAGATGGTGAGTGGAAGGAGGAATTCAGACCCAGGTATCGAGAACCAAAATGGGGTGTATCTACCAGAGTGGATCTATGAGAGAGTAGTCGCTGGGCAGGACATCACACTTAGTAGGGAAATAGCTGACCAAGAGAAAGAAACAGTGAGGCAGCGGGCCATTGTTGCACTCTGGTGCATTCAATGGAACCCCAAAAACCGGCCGTCGATGACAAAGGTGGTTAACATGTTGACAGGAAGGTCACAGAATCTACCAATACCACCTAAGCCATATGCCTAGCCACCCATCCTATGCCATAAAACATGGGGGATATACTGCTATGATTTAGCAAGCATGAAAATAAGCATGCTTACTTTCATATGTGAGCTTAGTAATGCTTAGAAGTATATATTACATTGTATTTGGATCATTCCACTGTATCAGCCACATGAATTAATTGTGACTGTTTTAATTTTCGATGTGTAGTAACTTAATTAGAAACGTATCGCATTGCATTTATTTCCATTGTTGTGGGTTCAATTATTGTGATTTTCCAGAAAATACGTTCCTGTGATTTATCTGTGCCCGTCAATATTGTGTACTACAAGTCCCTGCATACCTCAGGGAAAAAAAACAAGTCCCTGCATACCTCAGAAAAGTGTTCTATTCTTTTTTTTTTTGTGTGTGTGTGGAACAAGGTGTTCTACTTTTCCTATTCATGGTGCACAAGAGTTATTATCAATTCATCATGCCAGGCAATGATATATTTAAATAATTAAATCTCAGCAATGTGTTCTCAATGTCCTTCGGATGGGCCATAATTGGCCAAAATGCTAAGACACTATAACCATGCAAGGCAATTAAATTGTGCAAGGGACGAAGCCAGCCGAGTAAGTCGCCAGGTCATCCACTTTGCTAGCTAGGGTTTGCAATGCTGCAATACAGTGCGTATAGGCCTAGCTCCGCCCTTGAATTGTGCGGGCAGTTACTTATTCCCCAATCCCCACACAGCCACACCCCAAGCAACAATGTCATCCGGGGTATGCCCCAGGTTTATGAGCGCAGATTGTCCTACAATCTAGCAACGTAAAATGCAAAATCAAGGAGTGTTACCTCCGTCAGTAGCGAGTAGGAAGCGCATCCGGAAAGCGGTAGCAACCCTCACCAGACGGGAGGGCGGCGGCAGGAGAGGAAGACCCGTTTCGGCATTCGCTTGGTACAATATTTTTCTCTCACAACAAAACAGCCGTAACCGGCTTATCAACCATAAAAACCATCAGCCGAACAGCTCGAACGGTTGGTGGTGCCGACTACGAGTACGGCTCTCACAGGTGGCGCCGTGGCGGTCAGCGCGAGGGGACATGTCAATGGCCCATGGGCCTGAGTCAGCCCACGTAGAAATGCATTCGGAGTTCAGAATGGGTGAACATGTCTCGAATTTCGGAATGCTTAATCTTTTTATGTTTCTGCTGCAACTCCTCCTCCTCTATCAATAAAATAAATAACACTGTCTCGTGCTGCTTCATTGAGAAAAAAAAAATCTATTACGCTTCCTGTTTCAGCTCAGCTCACTTTCAGATAACTGTTTTATTCTTTTTTCATCAGGATTTTCAGAGCAGTTCTCCAAATTCAGGAATAGCTTCCTGCGACTATGTGACACTCGTGTGATCTAGAATCTCTATAGACGCTTACAGCCTAAATCAGAATATTCTGTCGACCTTTCTCGAACTCAAAAGGAACCGCAGGTTTGTGAGCGAAGGAGGTAAGTTACCTTACGCCGGCCGGCCACTTCGCCATCTCCACTGCACTATGAGCAGGCATAGTGGATAGTGCTCATGGAGTCAGGAGACTCCTAAAGCTACTGCCTATTTGGACTTGGTTTCCGCCGGGGAGAGCCGGCGGCCACCAGCGCTTAGCGCAGGCCTGTTCCTCCCCTCCTTGCGTGCGCGCTCAGTGGACACGGCTGACCGACATGCGAATTGTGAGGCTGGCGTCGGTCACCCATGCCGGCCTGAATCGTATTGGCTCGGCCCTCCTGGGCTACGGTTCGCCGAATTTCAGAGGAAAAGATTCACATTTACTTCCCTCAACTTTTGCGAAAATCTGCTTTTTCTCTCTCAACTCTAAAATCGGGTAAACCACCTCCCTGAACTTTTAAAACTGTTCGTTTTACCTCCTTGACTGGTTATAAGCAGTTTTCAAAGACGATTTTGTATTTTTCTTTTTTATTTATTTCGGCTGAATCTTTGAAAAATCATATTAAATCGTATAAAATCATAAAATAGAAAATTTAATTTTGTTGAATTCCACATGAGTAGATGCACACAGTGAACATATAATATGGTATACTTTAGTATAATTTTTTTTGTTGTAGCTTTAGATCTATGTTTTTTCTAATTAATTCATAGCTACAGTTCTATGGTCCAATTATGATGAAATTTTTGTAGTGGGCTAATTATTGTATACCTGAACTATAGTAAAAATTTCATACTCACTAGATCATATAGTATAATTTTTTTACTATAGTTCAAACATACAATAAGTAGCCTACCATAAAATTTTCACCATAATTGAACAATAGAAATTGCAACTATAAATTAATTATAAAAAATAGATCTAAAGCTACAACAAAAAAAATTATACTAAAGCATATCATATTATATGTTTGCTGTGTAGATCTACTCATGTGGAGTCCCACAAAATTAGACTTTCCGTTTTATGATTTTTCTGTGATTTACTATGATTTTTCAAAAATTCAGCCAAAATAAATAAAAAAAAAAAAGACAAAACCGTCTTTGAAAACCGCTTATAACCGGTCAGGGAGGCAAAACGAAAGGTTTATAAAAGTTTAGGGAGGTGGTTTATCCGATTTTAAAGTTTAAAGAGAAAAAGCAGATTTTCGTAAAAGTTGAGGGAGGTAATATGAACTTCTTCCAATTTCAGAAGCCCCTTAGGATGCGGGCTACATTTCGGCGAACGCTTCTGTGTTGGGCCTTTCATCTGCAACGGGCCTAAACGTCAAAATGCACTGCTGGTTTTTATTCAAGGAATCGTGTCAGCTCGCTTCATCACCGCTGCGCTGAAACCTGAAAAACGCTCGTCACATTACTCACAAGTCACAAGGGCACGCTGCGTTCGTCTCAGCAATATTCCACGAACACCTCTCTCTCCGTTGTTTAATCGTTTTCCACAGACACAGTTCACACCTGAAAGTAAACGGGTGCAATGAAGATGCAGCCTGTTCGTTTGGCTGTGGCTTGTCGTATACGATCGTAAATTTTCAGTCGAAACAATATTTTTCTCTCACACAAACCAGTCAGTAGTACTTCTTTACATAAACCAGCAACGATACGAACCAACCAACCGAATATGCTGATGAACAGCAAAGCCAGTTTCCATGGAAGTTGACAGTTAAAATCGTTGCACCTGCACAATCTTTTATCATGTCGGTCCAAGGAAACCTTATCGTCATCCGTGCCTACGCTCTCTCGCCTGGTAGTCTCCCGTTCCCAAGGACCCCGTCAAGTTTGTCAATGCGTTGGACTGTTGGAAGCTCTGCATTTGGGTTCACATCTTCTGGACTGGACCCATGCTCGACAAAACACACGTCGCTCTCATGTTGAATTGTGTTTCTTTTTTTTCTTCTCGCTTTTGGACCTGTGATGCAGGACAGCATCCTGCATCCCTGTACACATTTTGATGGAGAGGGCTCGGTTGCTTTATGAACAATCAACGTTCTTTCAACTGTGTTAGTTGGGTATGGTCAGCCTAGGATCTTGTCAGTTCAAGCTGGTGTGGCTTATACCGTACAAATGCATTAGTTGTTTCTCCCAGCAATGTGGAATTAGCACAAAATCAACGTTCCGGCGAAATTTATTTCGTGTAAAGGTAGAAGTAGTATGAAGAGAGTTTCCAAAATCCACTCCCAATCAAAAAAAATTGGCCAAATTGAGAAAATTGGTCTCCAACAACTTCCTATCTCAACTCTTAATCTTTTCGCACTTGGGAAACTCGATCTCCTTATGCGGATATATACGCGTGCGTAGCCAACCACTAATATGGTGGTGGAAGGAGGTGGGGAAGAATAAAAAATAGGACAGAGTTTCTAATGCAAATACACAGGAGAGAAAGAAAATATAAAAGTGGTTATGGTAATTTAGAAAAAGTATGAGATTCCTAATTTAAAATTGTTTTCTATATTTTAAGATCAAGATTTTAAAAATTGTTGGAGGAACACAACAAATATTCTCCCAACTGTTTTGAGCCACTTGGAAAACTCATTGATTTTACTATTTTTTATTTAGAACTATTGGAGATGCTCTAATAAAGTAATCCCGGCCCATCACCCTAAAAAGAACTAAAATCTTGTTTCCTAATTAGACCTCCTTAAGCACAGCTCCACCACAGGCTCCTGAAGCTATTTGGAGATATTTTGTACCAAACAGAATAAAACGAAATAGCTCCATCCAAAGAGCTCCTCAAAACTTTGCTCTCACAGATGATTGCTAGGGATGTAGCTGAAAATAGTAGTTTCACCAAGCTCCACCTCATCCTGGTAGGCCCCCAACAAGAATGAAGGCCCACTTTGCCCCCACACGAAGAAGAAGAGGCGTGAGGGGGACCGATCACGACCGTCGAGGCACGTGCGGGCCGTCGGGGCACACCACCGCCTGGGCACGCGGGCTGCCGGGTGTGCAGGCCATCGGGGCACATCGCCCCCACGTCACGCGAGTGGGGGCTACCGGCGGTGCAACTAGCTGGGTCACGCGGCCATCGGGGGCAGTGGGCCACTAGGGAACAAGCAAATCGGGGAAGAAGAAGATAGGAAAAAAAGAAAGGCATTTTGGTCTTTTCCTTCTTTTTATCTACTATGAGAGATTGCATTGAGTGGCACTAGGTCATCATGTTGCAAGCTAGTGGTGCTTGTTACTGTTACTATTGGAGGTTGTCACCTCATAGATAGCTTGGTGGTTCTGATTCCGTTGAAGCATGCACGGGATCGTGTGGTGCTCAAGGGAATAGATCACACAATCATATGGTGCACCCTACCCAACAACTAAAAGACAATGTGTCGGTGTTTCGTAAATCGGACTAGTAAACTTATACGATTGACGCGCTGCTCTAGGAAGATGATGGTAGCATCCAATAGACACAAGGATTTATACTGGTTCGGGCCATAGCCCTACGTCCAGTCTCAGAGAAGATCGAGTGCGTGTTCCTCGCTTGAATGTTCTAAAGTTCTTAAAATGGGGGGTGCAAGAATGGTGAAAGAGGTGGTAGAACCTATGCTAGCCGAGGGG